TGACAGCAGTGGAGAGAAACAGGAAAAACAGGTCAGATTTGGGGTTCAAGAGTCTTCTCTCTCTGCCCACTTTCCTCAAAACTATGTGAGACTTGAGAAGGACAGTCACCCAGCTAATTCTTCTTCCACAAGGAAAGGTAGAAGACAGGCCAGGTCAATCTTCAGATGCATTCAGGTAGCAGAGGATGGCCCATCTAGTCTATTGCGCATCAGATTAGGCAGAAATGCTCTCATGCTCACTGTCTCCGAAAGACTAGGTTTGAAAATAAACTTTATATTTCTTTTATTTCAATCTATTTCAACTCGCAGTGACCCCTTCTAAAAGTGGAAGCACTTACAGGGGAAAAACTAAAGAAATCTGACACATCTCTGCAGCAGGATAAAGATTTTCCCTTTAAGTACAGCCACTTACATAACATACTTTGTTCATAAAGGGAGCACTGATAATGCAGAGGCCTCTTAATCACTGCCACAATCCACAATTACCCAGGGCAACATCTGGGATAGCAGAAAGCAGCAGACTGAAGAAGTGCAAAAGGCAATGCCTGACAGCTGGTTTTTTTTTTTTTTTTTTTTTAAGAGAGAGAGCGGAGAGGTGGGAAAGAGGCTGAGCTTCTCCCAGAGCTCAAGAGGCTGCGCTGCGCTCAGCTGAGCGGCGGCTCCAGCAACGCGCGTGAGAGCGCGACAAGCACGTGCAGAGTGGCCACAACAAGCGCCTGGCGGAAGGGCCCTTGGGACTGATGACCGAGGGGCTGCATCTCGTGTAGAAAAGGGACATGCTGAAAATGACCGTCAACAGTGAGATGCCATCTGTGACCTCCACGGATACAAAACACAGTTTACCTATCCATGAAGGCTGCACCCTTTTGCTTGAACCTCTCCTGCAAAGAGCAAGCTGGAGACTGGCTGGACTGGCACAACGATGCCTCTCCTAAGCAGCTGCTGAGAAGCATTGGGTACTTGACCCGAATTTTAGCCCCAGCAGTGGGGAGGCCTAGAGCAAGGGAAGCTGTGAGGCAGTTCTTATATCGCTGCTGAAACCCTCCCCACCTGAGGGCAAGCGAGTCACCCCAGGTACACTGCTTGCTTCCTCTCCAGGAGCACCCGTACGAGAGGCACAGAGATGGCACAACAACACACTTATATAGTGGAATCCACATTTACGTTATCCAAGCAACTGTTCAAGTCTTCTGTAAAAAGTGTCTCCCATCCCACCCTCCATGCCATAGGGCCCTCTGAATAGGTATTACATAGACACTGAGCTGGTGCAGATGACAACAGCTTCTCCTCACAGTAACAGGTGGCACCATATTTACACCTACTATCTTCACCTCTGAACTGGTCTTCCTAATTCTACTCCCTAATGCAGACATAATCCTAGATGAGGAATTTGTTTTAATTCCTGCCCTCAGAAACCACCCAAGGACACAGAATGAATTACTTGCAGAAATCTCCTGCGTGTGATGTGCCAAAACACAACACTCCAGTGTGCACACATTAAACTGGGTGGACCAAGTGTCCCAGGCAACTCATGTGCCCTGCATCAGCTTCCCTGCTGCATGTACACTCACTTGAACAGCGCAAGAGTGAACATGCAGTTGAACTCCTGCCACCTCAGGGCCCAATGAAGGAGACTAGCTTGATTCCACATGTATGTAAGAGGGAGATCGAGGAGATCATGGGGTCCAGCACTTATGCCACACATACATCACACCAGCTTACACAACTACTGTTGTGTGACAACAGTTGCTGCTGAAAATAGAAAGAAGTCTCTAGTCTTAGAATACTGGGAAGAAGCAGTGGATTCTGCTACTTAGCAAATCATATATCCTGAGGAGGACCCAGACAGCTGGGAATCAACTTTTTCTGCTCTTTTTGGAGTTTCCCTTGAAGTTGTCATTTGTCTCTGTGGAAAGAAGGCATCTAAACACACATTCTGTGGAGTTACAGCAAATTCAGCCAAGAACCCCTCGTGCAGCTCAGGACCCTGCAGTGCTGACCCAGCGTTGCTGCCGACACCGCCCCCTGCCTAGCCCACCGCACCTCTGTGCCACAGCCCTGCTAGCGTCCTCACCCTGCACAAAGAAACTCAGCGTGTGCGATACGTAACTCATGCACCACATGGTGGTTTGCAAGGACAACGGGGAGCCCACAAAATGCACTTGCTCACGAAGATGACTGCAGAGACCTCACAGAAACAGAAGGCACATCCAAATATACCCACAGGTCAACTTGTGTCTGTTGTAAGACAGAAATCAAAGGCGATGCAAGAGTTTCTACAGCAAGTAATAGGCAAGATTCCCTATGACAAGGTGTACTTCAAAGGACACACACCATAATGCAACATTCAGTTTAGCAGAAGAGAAAACTGCTCCGGAAGAGCCCAAGGACATATAAAGCAAATCCTTTACTGCTGAGGAAATACTCTTGCACCCATACTTTGCAGATTTCCAGGCAAGAGATACTAATATTTATTTTCCTCATTCTTCCCACTTTCTGTGCATTCAAGGGATTAAATGTCCCCTTCACGACAGAGTTACAATTCCTCTAGGATGAAGTAACACATATGCACAGATAGCTAACCCTGTAACTCAAAAGCACGGTTCTATTCCTGGTTTAACAAGACACCCTTCAGTTAATCTCTGACGAGAAGCTCAAAAGACCTCCCCCTCGCATACGCCATATCCCCCGCCCTCCTCCACAGAAAACAGATTGCTCCTGGCACCGGCACAAATCCCTCATGCTCAACTCAGACAACCAAGAGGAGACACGCCGGATGTACCAGAGCCAAAGGCGGAGGCAGAGAGGGGAATTTCCACAGGGGCCTAAAATACCATCCCTAAGTGAAAGGGCAAGGTGCTTCCCGCCGCCAGCCCAGCTCCCTGCTCTGCCCTGGCCCTGCCCTAGCCCCAGCTGTCAGGTCTCCACTTTGCACCTCAGTTGAGCTTCCAGATAATATTTTGGGGGATTCTGGGATGACACTGAAGTTGCATTTGCTAAGTCTGACTGAATTGCACTAGGGTAACATAGGACACAGGACAGAAAAGACCTTTCTTGCTTTCAGATCATGCTGCTGTACCCCAAAATTAGACACACACACGGAATGAGAAAAGAGACAAACCTTGTTACAGCCTCATTCTCAGTTCAAAGAAGCCACGTTAACAATTCTCAACTTGATGCCGGTTCTGGAACTCACCATACATCCATGCATTCAGCACAGCTTCAAGAATATTTACTTTCTACTCTTTGAACAAGATGCAGTTCTTGCTACAACTCCTCACGAGCAGGAGAGCTCCTGCCTCACCCCATGCCACCTTTCCCTCCACATGCAGACTTGGGCTCACACGTGCTAGCAGCACGCGTTGGTTAAGTACTGCCTCAAAACTGGCACAGCGGCCACCTCCACTGTGTGGCATAAGAGCTTTGCTTAAAAAAGTAACTCTGTAGGAACACAGACAGGCCAAGAGGACTTTGAAATGTAGATTCTGGGGACCTTTCGTTCTTTAATCAAAGTCATTAACCTAGAATGCTAAAACTGTCTTTTTTAAGATAGGACATTTATAAGCATATGAGAGTGCTATGCAAACTGTCAAACCCATACCTATCTGACTCACGTGTAGGACTCAAGGAAGAGATTTCAACATCATGCTAGCCCTTTTACTTACAAGGTGCTGCACTGCTGAGAAAAGGAAAGAAAAAAAGCTGCCTGACTTCTAAATATGTGAGAGAGACAAAAGAGGGGATGCAGGAAGGAAGTTTCAGCCCAGTGCTGCATATTGTCGTTCCACCTCATGTCTGCATGACAATATTTAAGTAAATGCACACGCACCAACCAGCTTTCACAGGCCTTCCTGGTGCAGATGCAAACAACAGAAAGCAATAAACTGCTCCAGACCAAAGTGCCATTAAATCCCCCTGCCAAGGAGCATGGCGTACCCATAAATAAGCTAGGAACATGGTTAAGAAAGTGTTACTACTGAAGATAGTGTCAAGCAACCAACATACATATTCAAAACCCGCTTGGATGCAGTCCTGTGCCACATGCTCTAGGTGACCCTATGTATGCAGGGGGATTGCACTAGAGGTCCCTTCTAACCTTAAGAATTCTTTGATTTTCTTTAACTAAATATAACGAGAAAACCTTTCAAAGAAGTCTGTGTTTCTCTCAATTGATCGTGCACTCATGGAAGAGCCCATCGCCTCTGAAGGAGAGCTCTAAGCCTTCACATGCTGATGACTGCAGTCCCAAGACCAAGGACTTCCATCAGCAAAATAACCTGTTCAGTTCTCTCATGACAGCTGGTAAGGCAAAAAATACACAGTGATTTCCAAGACCAGAGCGGAGTTTTTGTCTTGCATTCAATGTCCTGGTCCAAGCATTCTGGTTTCTGTCTCAACAACCTCTTCCCTCTTCGATTCTCTGCTGGCTTGTTATAGGAACTTGTTGCACTAGCGGAGGTCCCTGGCAATTGCCCAAGTATATTAAACACTAAGTAAGACTAATATGCAGACAATCAATTTGGATAGACCAACTGCCTGGCAAAAATTAAAGCATCAGTTCCTTTGATAACTGTTTTTTTTTCATGTGTGTATGTATATATAAATAGGGAAGCAGAATTAAAAATATAGGTCCCACTCACACAACTACAGCATTACACCAAAATATCCCTGTGCGCTAGGCAAGCAGCAAGCTCTGATGGGAGAGTGCAAGCTCCATTTAACATTTCCCCATCCTCTGTCAGTCTTCCCTGAGGGCTTCTATTCTTCAACAAGGCTACAATGATTCTGTTCAAGGAACTATGACAGGGTAAAGAAAGGTTCACAGAAAGCCCTTGGTTATTTCTCAACACTCCGTTAAACAGGCAGAGCGGGAAGGCTGGAACCAGGAGGAAAAGCATTACTCTCACTGGAGAGCAAAGGAGAAATTGTACGAATAAATTTCTGTTTTTGTTTTGTTCTCCCTGCCTCAGAAAACCAAAGCATTTTCCATGAAGAAGAAAGACACACAGACAGACAGAAAGACAGAGAGCCTGATAGTCTGTGATATTTCACTTGAGGTTTTCAAACACCTTTCTATCATGGCAGAAATTTCACAACCTGACAGTCAGCCCCTTTGCAGGTACACACACACGTGCACACGAGGAGAGCTTTTACAGTTGGGACAGTCTGAACACCCATTCTAGCCCTTTGGGACTGAATGTCCCAGTATGTGCCAAATTAAAGACTCCATAAAACAGCAAGAGCACCTAATTTGTAGTATTATAAAAACCTCCATTTCCTGCCAAACCAAGAAACGAAGGGGCGAAGGGCAAACACTATGAGAAAAAGCATTCAAAGAGTTCTCATGAACTTCACAGAAAGAAAGATAAAGTTTAAATGAAGAATTATCCTCGTTTAAATCCACTGCTTCTGATGATGCACTAGACTCTCATACATAGCAATAAATGCTTAAATGCAGTGCTAAAACCCATGAGATTCTGGGAAGTAAAAGGGAGGTTTACTTACCCATCAATGAAGTACATTAGTTCAGCAAGTCCGTGCTCTAGGAGCTGTACATCATTTCCCAAAATTCCTGACTGTTTCTTAAGCCATTTAATACACAGACAAACTACTTAATTTTTCATTAATTGTAATCTCATCTTCTGCTTGGGAAATATAGTTCCCGCTGATGATCTCATATTAATTTATTCAAAACTCTTTAGAAACTTCTTGGTAAATTCTCCCCTCTATTTTCACACTTCATTTCGCATCACGAAGTTAATATTTACATGAATCAGATGCAATTTCTTATCTTCAACGAATATCTACAGAGCAACACAGCAGATATCTCAAACATATCCTTTGCACAGTTTTAACTTTGCTCTGGTTAAAAGAAAGAACCTAAATTCCATTCTGTGTGTGCGTGCGTGTGTATATATATGTTCATAGACAGACACACACACATTCCAGCAAAAAA